TACTGTAGTAGAACAATTGATAGAGACAAGTCCTAAACTTGTATATAGCAGAGAATATGTTTTAACATGCTTACGTTATGACCACCATGGTTTAATATCCGTACTGAACAACAAATTTGGGCTCTTGATCTTAGGATTGATAAAGTTTACTTTTCTAGCTGATGCTTGATACTTGCAGAGTTCAAGTCTTGTCCGTCAATATACTCTAAAAAATGCAGCTGAAGCCCCTCTATAACCTGTATATCCAAACAACTTGTGTAAATTTCCTGTTTCCCTTCAGGTAAGACAGTGCTTGGGGAGCTAGGCCAGTCCCACACCCAATAGAGAGTAAACCACGAGGAGCTGATATTATAAGGAAGTTCCACATCGTTTTGGCACCAAAGATCTGCGCCTTGGGGATCCATTGCAATTTTATGGTAGAGCATCTGCCTCTCCTTAGATATATGACCGTCATTTATCTGATAGCATCGTCCGTCGTCAAACTCCCGCACCGCGAGCAGTATTCCGCGGCCATCGCCTCCAGTTCCTTGCTCATTCCAAACTCCATGAATCGAGCTTAGTGTATCATTGTCTAGAGGATTCGATGTTCCATATATGTACACAAAACCACTACTCCTCTTCTCCGGTGTAAGCTCGGGCAAAGTAACGTGTCCATTTTCCTGATACTGAAGAGCGACAAAACCTCCTGGAGGTGCTTTGAGAGCAGGGAATTCTGCACTGTAGTTACGGAAGGTTTGTGTAGATTTACATATGTTATCTCTGTCCCGCTTCTCAGGACTTGTTGACAGGAGGTGTTGCATTTGGAAATCATTAAAGGTTGGATCCAGCCTGGAGATGGTGCCACGAATATATCCTGGCTTGCCAACCATTGTGCCATTGTCGGCAATGACCATGAGCCTCTCGACCCACGAGTGAGACCGCGTTGGGCTAAGTATAGCCAAAAGAATTGTCAAAATGTAGATTCTCATAATGGCTGTAATTGCCTTTGGAAGGGATTTGCATAGAAAGTACAGCTAGTTATATATGCTCCAAG